GAGCACTGATCCGTAAAGTTCCCTTACAAATATGATGTAAGCAGCTTAGTTGTGAGCAGATATGGAGGTAAAGCTGTTACTGAGGGTATATTTCATGAAAGAAGAAGGGTAGAAAAAGGGATTTGAACAGCGAAAAAAGAAGTGCCTAGTCTAAGAGAAGGTTTGAAGGGATCAGGAGTTTGAAACTCCACAATCTAAAGCTCATATTGTTTGACTACTTTTGCCCTTGCTCTTGAATTTTTCCATAAGAGGGAAGTACTTAAGTTATTATGTCGTTCCTTACCTACTGCTATTTATTTTGCTAGCCAATTGGTAGCAAGACATCTCTGGGCTTAGAATTACCTCACAGAAGTCAATGGGATTTAAAAATGTTTGTCTAAATAATTTGGTCTTCATGGTAGCCAAAGAATTTGGATCAAATTCTTCCCTCATTTATTTGTCTGCAACCCTGTTGAGTTCACTGCAGTCCAATGGGTATAAATTAAGTCACACTGTGTATTTAAAATGCTCTCTCCATCTGTATGTCTGTCTGTCTGCCTGCCTAACAATTTTTAAACTGTAGAAGTATCTGCCTGATATATATTTCTGACCAGCTTCTGTTCTCAGTGATAGGTAAATCACTAATATAAATGAGAGCAAGAAGTTGGCCATTGAAGTCTAATAGCAATCAAAATGCACAGTTTAACTAAGTAGTAAAGATATTTGCTCTGCAAAAGGGATGATTGTGGGACCTGTATAATTTGGAAATGATGCATTCTAAGAAGACTGCATTCCTATGTAATCATTTAGTACTGCGCATATGCACATTAAATGTGATTACATAGTATACATAATTATTACCAACTAGGCTTGGAAAATACATGTTAAGCTTAGTGAATAAATGTGGTAAAATAGAAGCAGCTTAATGATAATAATTATCTACAATAAAAGCACTAAGAAGATACCTTTGGTTTGTTTATACTATTCTTATTTATATAAAAGAAAGAGAAATTATAGTTAGAACAACTCTGTTTAAATCTATCATATCCATATACCCCAAACCAGAGTATATTGACCAAATATGTAAACAGCACCATGAAGGTATGATGGCTTTGCACACCATAATGTATTGTGTGAGACCATGTCTTGTGTAGTGAATAAAGCAGAAGTCTGGAAGTTCTCGTTCTAGTTCCACCGCCCACTTTCTATGTGACCTTGGACAGGGCCTTTAACCTCTCTCCCTCGCTTTACCCATATGTAGAATGGGTTTGCTCATCATATCAATGTCACAAGGGCTTTAGAAGCTTGTTTAATGTTTGTAAAGTGCTTTGAAATCTTTCTTTAAGGTGCTACAGAGAACACCTTGCAATTGTATTTTAATTGTTTCATAAGGTAGTTCAGATAGAATAATCATCCTAAACCTTTAACTTCCTTTGAACCAAACCTTTTTGAATTTCAAAGAGGCATTAATGCTTCTGGTTTGACTCAACTAATATTCTTTTTGGATTATATCTGCATAGAGCCTACAGAGACGCAATAGACTGGTAATCAGTATCTCTTCTGCAGACCTCCACCATGAACTTCCCACTTTATGTAGCCCATCAGCATTGTGATAATAAATCATAGTGATGAAGGATAGTCACTGAGATCCTTTTACTGAAGCTGAAATACTAAAAAACCCACAAGTCTGCAGTGTTGCTCTTTAAACATCACCATTTACTTAGGAGAAAGAAGTATCTAGTATAAAAGAAGCTCCTTTATCATACTGCTATTCAAAAAAAGAAGATAACTTGGTAGCAGGTACAGCTCTTCATGACTATATGTCTGGGGGGAAATAGTTCTGCAGGAGATTTCATTGGTAGTTAAGAGCAAGATGGAACCTTGAAAAAGTTGAAAGATTCAGTGTTTTCTAAAAATTAATCTGATCACTTCTTGGCTACAAATGAGATTCAGCCCATTAAGAGATGGATGGTACCCATCCCCGTCTCTCTTCCTTTACGCTGTACTTGTGGATTACTGGTACCAAATAACTTTCTTCTGGTTTTTGTCCTTAAAAATGATAAAGGGGACCCCCAGCATTTGGATATTTTGGAATATGATTCATATGTTCAGAGTTCGGGAAGTTTGCCAACATCAAACATCTGCATCTTTTAAGTATCATGAGTCCTGATTCTTCATTCTCTCTTAATGTAAATTCAGTGCAACACTGAGTTTAGTAAAATAAGTCTGGTCTGAAACCAAATGAAGCAAAAGGAAAATCTGGATCCTTGAATCCCAAACAGAACAAATTTCAGAAATGCCAGACAGTGATTTATCTTCTCCCAATTCCTTGTTCGAAAAAATAAAATAGCTTCTTATAAACATCCCCTTAGTCGTTAATACAAAACACACAGCTACTCATACATGTCTCCAAAGCCATTAACCTATCTGTTCTTTGTACAGAAAAGGAACAACAAAACAAAAATGGAAATAAGATCTCTTTAGAATCTTTACGGGTCATCTTGAATCTCCTAAAACAAAGTCAAAATACCAGCTATTTATTTCAATTAAGGAATAAGTAGTGCATTGACCTTTAATAATTGAGTGTGACCTCATCTTAATTAAAAACCTACTTGGCTCTATTGGATCTGCAAGGCTTGATAGCATAGAGGTAAAACCACCTGCACTTGCACTACCTACCAGTGTAGACCCTATGTAGTAAAACAGGTGACGTTTTTCAAGTGTAGATGAGCCTTTATAGCTCCAGAGACTTTTTCGACCGATCAAAAAGAAAAATATGTCAAAGCATGCAGAACTGTTGTTTCCTAGATGTTTTTGGATGTTTGATGTAAATCAACAGTGATCAAATGTGCACACATCATCAAAAGGGGATGAAAACATAGGTATAGTGAGGTAAAATGCAAAGTAAAGGGGGGATGCTAGAGGAGGAACCGCAGGGAAGTTTGATAGTAATTGTCAATTCTCCAGGGAGAGGAAATGAACAGCATAGACAGACAATGTGAATATGTGACCATAGGACTGAACCTCTCACATGAAAGAGAATTTAATTTCCTCTTGTCTGTTTAATATTGTCCTGATATTGCTTTCTGGTGTAATCAAACTCTGCAGTAGTTGCTTAAAGGAAAGTGCGGAATCTGTATTGGGATGCTAGTCGTCAATGTCTAGGTCCATGGGAGGATGTTGACCTTAAGAAATGGTCCAAATCTTGATAAGGGCTGAGAATTGCTGTAGTCTACGACCAATTAACATTAATAAATGCTTGGGAGAGTGGCTCTTGGGGAGTTGGTGGGGCATAGGATTTTTTCAGCAGATTTATTCCTGTACCTTTAGCTAGATTATGTGGGTAATGGCAGAAGGAACCTGTACTAACTCCTGCTATTGTTTGCTTACTGTCCTTTCCCCACTCAATGTTACTTTAATTTATCTAATGTTTGTGTAAATCTGGAGTCTTACATCTGCCTCCTGCCCTTAAAACCCAAGATTTTAAAAAGAATGGTGTTAGTTCTGCTGTGAAGTGGGTAGCTCCTTTACAAGATGGTTTGATAAGGATGCAATCATTTATTATGTGTCTTCCCATTATACCTTAGGTATCTCCACTTGATTGAAACAGTAACATGAGCAACCTTCATGGAATAGACAGGAAATGCACATAAGTGTGTTGTTGCTTTTAAAAGATTTTCTTCTTAAAATTTATATTTGCTTTTTAAAATATTTTTGTTTGTCAGTATCCTTTTTGTTTTCCAGAGAATCACCCTGTCTCTTGTTTAAAGTAAACAGTTAAATATGTTTATAATGGGCCAATTCCCACTGGGTGGCTTACAGTGTGATAGATAAGCCTGGGAATAGTTCAGGTAATGCTGTGTGTAGAAGGCTCTACCAAGCATAGCACACGGAAGGAATGAAGGTGCAAAGCCAAGAGCATGAGAAGAGAGGGAATGAAAAAGGGGGATATGAGTAGGGAAATATGAAAGCAGAGATGTAGGTTGGGTACATTTATGGACAGAAACATAAATTTGGAAAAGGAAGCAACCAAAGCAATAGAAAGATTGGAATGGTGGGAAAGAAAGAGGACTCGAGCAACTCCAGTCGGAAGAGGTGAAGGTTACCCTTGGTATGGTAAGAAATGATGAAGAATTATGCTACAAAGTGGGGATAATGAGAAAAAAGGTGGGCCTGGGTAACATAAAATAAGAAGTGGTGACAGGATCTTCAACAACTAGATATGGGAAAAAATAGGTGAAGATGGATCAGGAGGAAATAAATATATTTTTAAAGATAGCTTGAAATATTGCTGGGATGTTGGTCAGAATTTGAGTTGCTGGTGGGACATGATAGGACCAACAATATATGTGTCTGTGAGGGGAAGAGAGAGAGAGTTGGGAGCGTCAGAATAGAAGTGATGGTTAAAGATAGAGGACCAGAAGAGGTCTCCTACAGAAATCATGGAGAGATTAAATGAGAGGTTCCTGGATGGAGCTGCTATTAGCACATATTAAATCAAAGAGTTAGGTTTTCAGTAACATCTTTAAATAGAGATTTTGGAAATTGCTAAAAAATAGAATACAGACTTGAGCTGTTCCATAGATATGAGTGTGTATATATGCAATTACAATGTGTGCTGCATTAACCTTTTTTAAGTCTTGTTTGATAAAGGGTTTTGTTTGTTTGTTTTTGCACGTCAGTACAAGAATGTAATACGTTTGCTTGTTTGTCCCTGAAAATTTACAATAATTATTCTTTTTAAAATATAGACTACTGTCAGATAAGTAACATGCTTCTTGCACGATGAAATTGTGCATCAGTATTCCTGATTTGGAAAAAAAAATAGTTTGCATAATGTGTCTCTTTTGTTGAAATTGTGGGGTGTTCTCTACAAATAAAATGGTCCAGTTGATTCTGGAGAAACTCAACATTAGTTCCTTTTTACACGTTACCTGTACATTTATGGTGTCAGGGAGGTATGACTGAAGAATATAGAAAGGGCAAGCTTACTAAACTAAAAATATTTTTTTTTCTCCTAGGTTCAGACATTGTTCAGTGGTTAACGAAGAATTTAGCTATAGAAGATCCAGGTAAATTGTTTTTTCTCTATTAAAAAGTTCTGCTTGGTGGGTCTGTTAAGTTCTAAGGTCTTGTTCTGTTCTCTGGCCCTGTAGGGATGCCAGCTCATAACTGGACAGAATTTGATCCATGGATTCTCGGGGATTCAATTTTACTAGCAAAGCGTACAGCATTCAATCCTGCAGACCTGCCTTAAGAACCATTACCGGGGATGCAACACTTTATTAGTTTCAGAGCAGCAGCTGTCTTAGTCTGTATCCGCAAAAAGAAAAGGAGTACTTGTGGCACCTTAGAGACTAACACATTTATCTGAGCATAAGCTTTCGTGAGCTACAGCTCACTTCATCGGATGCAACAATTTATTAGTGTAACTTCTGGAAAATCAGATTAGCTTAATGGTAAAGAATAGGAATGACTATTGCTTTAACTGGGGAAATAGTCGTATCAATTCAGTTCCATGAGTACACATTCACCCAACCCCATGTTAAATGGCATCTAGCCAGTTGTTAAATAAATTAAATTAAAAAATTCTCATCTATTTCATACTGAAGTAGTCAGTAGGTTAAAAATTACATTTGTTTGATGTTTATTCAGTCTTTTTTATTATTATTGCACTGTTATCCAGTGCAGTATTGTATTTTCAATTTCCAGATATTTTTATGGGTCTCTTACGTGGAAAGACTGAACAGAAAGATACAATCCATGCAGCCCACCAAATGCAGTGAGGAGAGATGATCCAGTTTTTATGGTGCTTAGATTAGGACTTGGGAGACCCAGGTTCAATTCTTTCCTCTGTCCGTGACTTTGTGCAAGTCACTTAGTCCCTATGTTCCCTATCTGGTATGTCCCTATTCAGAGGGGTTTTGTGAGGATAAATTCTAGTGCTGGTCAGAAATTTTCTGGGGAAATGCTTTTACAGCAGGAAATTAGTCAAAAGCAAAACATTTAATGGACATTTTGACAAAATTGCACAAGAGGGATGGGGTGGGGAAACAGAATGGTGCATGCTGATAAGGTTTCATTTCAAACTTTTCAGAATGGAACGTTTCAATTTTTCCATTTCGAAATGAAATTTTGTTTCAATGTTTAAATGTTTGTATTATATAACATTTTTAAAAACTCAAAGTCAGAATGAAACATTTTGATTTTATTGAAACAAAATATTTTGATTGACCTGAAACATTTTCCTTCCAGAAATTGGTTTAACAGGAAATTTTAAAAATATTTTGGCTTTGTTCCATTTTAGAATGACACTCTCCTCCCCTCTCCCACCCACACCTGCCCAATCATGGAATTTCCCATGAGGGAAAATCCAGTTCCTCCCCAGCTCCAATCGGTATATTAAAAATTGTCAGGCACTCAGATACTATGGCAATGGGGTCCATGTGAAGTACCTAAGATAGATGCTTTAAAGGAACCAACTGTGAACCTACCAGAACTGTCTCAAAAAAGAGGAGGGTTACTAATCACTTCCAGGTTACTAATCATTTCCAGGTTAACATAACTTTACCTATTCCAGCAACCAGCTAACACTGACAATACAAAGAGTGCTCGCATGCCTAATTGTGTTGATCATGCTCAATGCAGATAGTAAAATGTGAGCTCTTGAGACCTGACTTTGAGCTACTGTTACTTCTGTTCTCTTTGCCTTGTTTGTCAGATACAAAAATGTTCAGCAGCCCATTTGTATTATGATTTGAGTCTGTGTCTGTCTTACTGTTTGGCTGGGATGAGACTCCCAATTGTCAGACTATGGTGATTTGTTATCTTAGCAGTAACTGACTTGCCCTTGAACTACAATACTGGGATCAATTGTCAGTCAGTTCTCTCATCAACAGAGAGACGCTTCCAAATGAAAAAAGATTAAACCAAAGGTGAAACATGGTTCCCTTTGTTAATACGCAATAAAATAATAATAATTACAAAAACACTTAACACAAAACACTGGAGTGGCTGAATTTGGATAATGTCCTATCAGGGTTTTATGACAATCAGGCTCCAGATACCCCAGTGGAGAAACAGGGGGTCTGAACCCCAAAATATGCAATTGAATCAAGTGATTGTATACAATATTATCATATTATAAAAGTGTATTTAGTAAAGTATCATATGAAATTAGTGACACGCTGGTTTGGAATAGCACTGTGTGTTATGTACGGCGTGTGTATAAAGAGTTATGTATGTGTGCTGAAAATATGTTCCTAAAATGTGTTCGGGAAGCCGTGCATAAGTCAAGCCTGCCATAGACAAAGGACTGTGGCTTTATCTCTGTGACCGGCTTGATTACAAACAGATGGCTATGAAAGTATATTTACATATCATGTAAACAAAGCAATCACGCTAACAAGCAGCGGAGGAAATAGTGTAGTGAGCACACCAGGGGACAGAAAGTCTTCCTGGCTCTTGAGGACAACACCCTCTGATTCTGGGAACATCAGATCCTCCTACCAGGAAGGGCTGGAGATGCTTGTTAATTGGATGTGAGGATGCTGGTCAATGACATAGCTTGTTAGAATTAAATTTTAGGCACTAGAAAGGATGTTGTTTTTGTTTTGTCTGTAACCCTTTTCTATCTCCTTTATCCTTGCTTGGTATCATTCAAATCTCTGGTTTTTATTAATAAAGTTATTCTTAGGTATACTATAAACCATCTCAGTGCCGTTACATTGAAGTGAAGAGTGACTCCTTAGTGAACCTAACAGGCTGGGGTGTGCACTGTCTCTTTGCAGACAGCAAGCTTAATAATTTCTGTCAGTGTCGAGTGAGAGGGTCTAGAGACTGCAGAGACACGTCTCTGGGGAACTTGGGAACTGGGGATCACTGGTTGTTACCTCCAAGCGAGATTTAGACTGGCAGAGTCCTGTGGAGTATGGGCTGGATGAATGGACTATAAGGTGGATAGAAAGCTGGCTAGATCATCGGGCTCAACGGGTAGTGATCAATGGCTCCATGTCTAGTTGGCAGCCGGTATCAAGCAGAGTGCTCCAAGGGTCGGTCCTGGGGCCAGTTTTGTTCAATATCTTCATTAATGATCTGGAGGATGGCGTGGACTGCACCCTCAGCAAGTTTGCAGATGACACTAAACTGGGAGGAGTGGTAGATACGCTGAAGGGTAGGGATAGGATACAGAGGGACCTAAACAAATCAGAGGATTGGGCCAAAAGAAATCTGATGAGGTTCAACAAGGACAAGTGCAGAGTCCTGCACTTAGGACAGAAGAATCCCAGGCACCACTACAGACTAGGGACCGAATGGCTAGGCAGCAGTTCTGCAGAAAAGGACCTAGGGGTTACAGTGGACGAGAAGCTGGATACGAGTCAACAGTGTGCCCTTGTTCCCAAGAAGGTCAATGGCATTTTGGGCTGTATAAGTGGGGGCACTGCCAGCAGATTGAGGGACGTGACCGTTCCCCTCTATTCGACATTGGTGAGGCCTCATCTGGAGTACTGTGTCCACTTTTGGGCCCCACACTACAAGAAGGATGTGGAAAAATTGGAAAGCATCCAGTGGAGGGCAAGAAAAATGATGAAGGGACTGGAGCATATAACTTATGAGAAGAGGCTGAGGGAACTGGGATTGTTTAGTCTGCAGAAGAGAAGAATGAGGGGGGATTTGATAGCTGCTTTCAACTACCTGAAAGGGGGTTCCAAAGAGGATGGATCTAGACTGTTCTGAGTGGTAGCAGATAACAGAACAAGGAGTAATGGCAGTGGTGAGCTGGAGCCAGTTCACACCAGTTCACTAGAACCGGTTGTTAAATTTAGAAGCCCTTTTAGAACCGGTTGTTCCGTGAGGGACAACCGGTTCCAAACGGGCTTCTAAATGTAACCGGCCAAAAGTGGCGCCTTAGGCGCTGACTCCACGGGTGCTCCAGGGCTCCCTTTGGCATTTGTTTGCAAAATTGACCATTTTAGGAGTGTTGACTCTTCAGTGATGGTGCCAATTAGTTTTAATGTGGAAAATCTATCCTCTGCCATTTTATTTTTTAACGTGGTAATTAGTGCTGTGAAAGTTACCAGATGGACCACTGATGAGTCCACTAGAGACCACTAGAGACTAAAGTCTTTTTAATTCTTTGAAAGATACAACAGAGAGGATGGATGGACTTGTTCAGAGCTCAGAATTAAAGCTTGGTCTACACTGCCAATTTATGTGGCTATAACAACATCATTCAGGGGTGTGGAAAAATCTACACCCCTGAGTGATGTAGTTATACTGACCTAACCTCTGGTGTAAACAGTGCTACGAGATTGTGGAGTACCTAACATTGACGGGAGAGCTGCGTGGATAGTGCTGCAGCAGAGCTATAAGTGTAGACAAGCTGAGACTCCCAAGATGTGAGTTATTTTCCTGTTTCTGCCGTTGATCTCTTTGGTAAGCTTGGGAAGTCACTTATCATCTCTGTGTCTCATTATCCCAGTGTATAAAACAGTGATGCTATTATTGAACCTTTACTGAGTGATAGCAGATTTGGGTGTCTTGACAGTTTCCGTTTTGGTGTAGAAAATGGTAACATAGAGTCAAATATTTTCTTAGTGTAACTTGTATATTTACAAAATATATATGGCATCTTTAACTCTATGGAGTTTTATCCATCAATATGCATCAATGAACTGTAATGTGCAAGCCATTAGCACCTTTTGCCATACCAATTCCTACATCTCAGTGGGGGTCGTGTCTTTTAATTCACCAACATTTCTAAAGCACTTTGAAATCTCTCGATTGAAGGCACTTTATGGTTGAAAAGTAACTATGTCAGGGACAGTGGTAATGAAAAGAGCTCCAGAGTGTATCATGATCCTTGTGCCCACAATAGTATGTGGCTATCTTTTGGGGTCACTATTTGTAAAAGAAGACTTCAGCCACACAAGCTGCTACAAGCCCTTTGCTTAACCTCCCCAAAGACCCAATTTAGAATGCTATGCAGTGAAAACTATTTACTGACAATTTTACAGAAATAAAAAGTCACTAAATATGATAGGCATAAGAATACATACCTAGATGGAAACTG